GTTTGGAACCTCTTCTGTAGGTGTGGCCTGCTTTCCGGGTCCACTGGTGGAACCTCTTCTAACCGCTTAGGTAGATTTGACGAACTGGTTCTACCGAATAGGTGCGAACTGGTAGGAACCCACCTCTGAATTGATTGCTTAGTGACTGTTTGAAGTTATGGTGGACATACTAATGAACCAGATTCAAAGTTCTGAGAGCTGGGCAACCCAGCTAGTCATGTGATCGTATTTTGGGCCTGCATTTATGGCTCTTTGTCTGACTTCCCAGTCATGTAACCACAATTAACATTAAACTTTTGCTTGCCAGAAACCTGCATTTACTTTGTAGAAAAGTGGTTCGCTTAACAGACACTGTTCACTTTACGACCAGAGTTTAATGACCCCCCACAAGAAAAGTTATAAAATCAGGTTGGTCACATGATGACCAGCTTAGTGACTGGCGCAAATTATGACGGTGATTTTGGGCTCAATTACAGTTGTATTTCAGAGAATACGTGTACTGTTTCCAAGTTCAAATTGAAAGCATTTTAAAGCAGGCATTTATCATTCCCTTAAATTTTCCAAAATATTTTGGTATTCTACTCCATGTGGTATGCTTGCTGGCTGGTAATAATTTCCTAGTCTGTTTTTACTGCCATGCAGTTTCCTTATTTTAGTATTTTTGTATTTTACCCTTTTTAGTTGCAATCTATTTTCACCAATTTAATGTTTATGCATAGAGATAAGATTATGGTTTTCTTTTTAAAAAAAAATCTATATACTACAAACTCTGGATCTTTGGTATAAGAGAGCATTGCATCTCAACTGAAGTTTCGGATTAGTAACACGAAAAACCAGTAACAAAATCTACCTTTTGAATCACACCTTGGTTGTGTTGGATCTTATTTTTGTTGCTTTCATGGCCTGAAGTCTGGTCAGAAACTACCATAAAATCAGGATGTAAATTATCAGAAGCATCCTCATTTTTCTTTTGTTCATAAGATGATGAAGGCAACCAGTTCTCATCCCAAATTTCTTGGCAAAAATACACCGGCTCCAGGTATGGTACTTCAGGATCTGAGGACTGGCTTGTTGTATGCTAAAAAACGTTTACAATACTGTCATTTTAATTATATATTTAATTTCAAATACAGTATTTTATAGAATTTGTTCACTGGAAAATCCTGTACAAAATTCCATTTATTAAAAGTAAATACAATCACACTTTTGGCCATTTTGTTCAATTCCTACACTTTACAAGTAGTCCTTGCTTATTGACTGCTTGTTCAGCAATCACTCAAAGTTGCAAAAGCACTGAAAAAGGAGATTTATGAACAATCTTTAAAGTTGCAACTGAATAAATACTCCCACATATTTAACTTTTATCACTTTGCAATATTTTATTCATGTATTTTTCTATTTACTATCTTTTCAGTATACACACAGAAAATGCTAAATAGTTGAAACTATCTTATTTTAAGGACTTCTTTATGTATGCTTCATTTCTCAACCCCACTAATATATCTAATTATATAATTTCACATTCATTCATTTAAAAGGAAGAACACTGAAAAATGTATCAAGAGGCATTAACATTTGATTGCCACAGAAATATTTTAAACATTATGAGGAAATATTTATGTAAGATTATCTCATTCCACAATAATAATAATAATAATAATAATAATAATAATAAAAATAAAAATAGTAATAATAATAATAATAAT